AAGCAAAATTACAATATTGGTGGATGCGCCAATGATTTGGATACGGGGCACATCCACCATTCCTTCGATTCAAAGCAGAACCAGGAGAGTCCTTTTTAAAATAAACCATACTTTGGTACATTGTTCATCTAATGCCGAAGAAATATTGGGTTGGCATAATTTTTTTACAAGACATCGGAAACTAAACCTTTTTTTCTATTCAGAAATGAACTTCAATCAGTCAAATATCTTCCATTCTACGTATGATTAGGGATAATAAAAGATCCAATGAGCATCCCGCTTGCCAGAGCAAATATTCAAAGGAAATGTTTGTTGGAAATGTGCCATTAAAATCATGTCGAAAAGTTCGATAATGCTGTAAGAGTGTGCCATTTTTTTTTTTTTCGAAACGACTGTCCACCAACGCTGCCGGTGCCTGAGCTGGGTACTAACGTACGTATGCCTTCTCACTTTTGATGTGATGGAGATACGGGAGCGGACTAGGTATGCTTTAGGCTTGATTGATTTTGCGGAGTCTAATATCTCAGTTGCCTTAAGTATTTGGCGTATATCCAGTAGGAAAAGCTCTTATTTTTTCAAGATCTATACGTCGTGTAAAGGAAAGTACAAACTTTGCGGACACCCTGATTATAATTTCGTACATGTTGCTAAGGATGTATAGGGCCTCGTATTATCGTGGTGAAGCACAGTTGCCTTTGGGGTTTGCTAATTCTGGCACTCTTTGATAGCTTCCTTTAAGTTGTTGATAATAAATATCTGAGGTGATCGTTCGGTTGCTTAGAAAAGCAGATCTAAATACAAAACAAAACGTTTTAAAGCGGACTGGTTGCGAGGACATACAAAAATGACAGAAAAGCATATAGAAAATACATTGACGAGACTAGTACTAGAAAAGCTAATAACAATAACATCATCCTTAACTCGCACAATAAAACAAAAAGTGCTTGGTCTTTGATTAACAGAAGGAGCGGAAAACAAGAATTGTAACGACAATAGGGTTAAATAATCACTTCAGTCCACAAGAAACAGCTAACGCATTTTTCGACCATTTCTCTAACATAATACTGACAGGAATAGTCAACCTTAGAGTATTAGCCTTTTTCTCAAACCTACAACTCCACATGAAGTACATTATGTTATTAGACAGCTCCACCAAAATATTCAACAGGTATGGATGAGATCCCTACGAATGTAGTGAAAACAGTAGCTGACTTTAACTGTCACCCTATATCTGCTATCATTGATTAATGCTTTTTGACTGATATGTACCCCAATAAACTTAAACTTCCTAAACTTATTTTAGTATTTAAAACTACAGACAGCTTGCGCTACTGCCTATTTTGTCCAAAATATTCGAAAGAATAATCTACAATAGACTCATGTCTTCTTTTATTGAAAACAGTATCTTCGTCATGAACCAATATGGCTCCTTGCCAAAAAGATCAACAAAAGACGCCATCAGGGATTCCCTAAGTAGATCACTCACTCGATTAGATAGTGGTGATAAAGTAACCGAGGTGTACATTGATCTATCCAAAGCCTTTGACTCAATAAATCATGAGATACTTCTCCTAAAAATGGAATACTATGGAATCAGAGGAATCACAATTGAAGTAATGGAACCATATTTAAATAATCGTTCTCAAATAGTTATTATTACAGCTGATATTGGTTATTTGTGTTATTCTAAAGAAGCGAATATTAGTATGGGAGTTCCACAGGGGTCTATCCTTGGACCAATTTAATTTTTAGTCTACATAAATGATCTATATAAATCTATTAACTTAACTTCTGCATGTAGATCATATATTGGGTATATTAACTATCAAAAACAGAACAGTTGTAAGTAACAACAAATGTATGATTCAATGGCAACTTATTACATTTAAACGTCGATAAAACGAATTTTGTATGATTCAATAACGACACTACCGAAACACTTTATGTAAAATTAAACGGAAAAAAAATGATTTGAACGAACGCTGCACAGTTTCTAGGAGTGAAAATAGACCATTTATTTAACATTATAAGAAAAGCAATTACTATCAAACAAACGACACAAAGAAAAGTGAACTTATCTATATAAGCCACAGCTTGGAGAGCCCGGTATCTACTTCTTGTCGTATGCGAATCTAAGGAGTCTTTCCCTAACTTCCTTTCTGTCAAATGTAGATTACTACAGCCTGATGTAGCTTAAGGGGTGGCTTTTAATCATTTTGCCTAATTAGGAACATACATAGTTAAATTTAGCACATGGAGCTATTAACTTACGTCGTCAGTAATAGAAAATTAATAATCAATTTGATCAATGTAATTAATCATTCCTCAAGTAAGATGTTGTTGTCAAGGTCACAGAGTATAGCTTCCGTCTTGGTCTCGGCTACAAACTCAAATAAATTTTCTCTAATGGGAGCAGTTTAACGAAAATTCTTCAATATAGGCGACTCACTCGAAGATTGGATACCTTATTTAAAAATGCCATAGTTTTTTCAAAGAAGTCAGTGCGTTGAAAATGATTTGTATTTCTTCTGTGTCCTTAGTCCAAATTTTCTCAATTTCTACGCCGCTAGTATATTCTTAGGCACCAAGATTTGTGTATTTATTGGATATTATGTACTACGTTAACAAGATTTTGAGTCAATAACTCAAAACTCAAAACTTTTCGTGTAATTTTCTTGATGCAACTTCACGAATGAGTTGTAAATTGGACCCGGCAACACGCCAATGAGAAAAGTTTCGGTAAATTTCGCTGAATTTTTTATGTTATGCGTCTTGGGGTCTCAAACAAATGTTTTAATAGGTACACGGCCCCAACCTCAACGGCAGGGTTACCAAGTAAAAAGTCTAATATACTGTTAAAAATCGATAAAATGTCAACTTGTTGACTAAGTAGTCTAGTGTGCAAATAGTTCATTCCATGTTCGCTACAATGGAAGCATAAAGTGAACGACAGCTGATTCCAGGTTGGCATCTTGTTGGAACACCTACATAATGTCATAAATACCTACATATTGTCAAAAAACCGACATGTCACTTTTCAAGTTACATAATACCCCAATACCCAGTAATGAACACTTTGTAGATACAACAGGCAAAGAATAACCTAAAAACGTGCTCTTACAATGACATGCTCAATCAATTGTTCGGCTGCCCATGTTTCATGTTTTATTGTCATTCTTAGTACATTAATAAGTATGATCACATTATTACAACCGTACCTATTACCAGTTATACAATTTTTACACTACTTCATTTTACTAACCTTACACAATATTAGTTGAGTAATCTTTCCGGACGACCTTCTTCGGACATCATTACTTTTTTGCTATTTATGTGTTTTGTTGTCTTTTTTCCTTTTTTGTACTTTTTTGTTTCTTTTGCGGCTGCCCATATAGCGGTCTTCCTTATATAGAGAAATACATCTGGAGCTGTCACAGTCATCGCTCTTGTTGACTCGTAGCAGGTTAACAGATAGAATTCGTCCAGCCTCGCAATGGTAAAGGGATTCCAATTGTTTGTGCAGTTTGAGACATTTGTTCAGGATGTCGAGATCCATGTGATTTTAAAAACTCAGTCATATTAACCGGAACCACTCTTCTAGATAGAGCAGATAGCTGAGTATACCTGACCCTATTATACCGACTTGGACGCCCTATATCACTGGTCGTCAACCCGTCGATCGCGAGCTACCGGTAGCTCTCAAATGCAATTTTGGTGGTTCACAACATATCCCAAAAAGGTGTAAAAATCATAGAAGCTTCCGTAAATTTTGTAAATTCTCATAATGAACACAAGCAGCGGCAACACCGCGGTGAGCGATCTGTGCGAGAACGATCTCGATTGCTTTGAACGGAATAAATACGGAAGGCGCGGCGACAGTGCGCTCAGCTTAAAACTGAACGGCACAAGTTCCAGCGGTTAGGTTAGAGTTGTCCTGCAATTAAAACATTATGAGCAGTAGTAAGAAGATGAAGATATATACATACATCTGTTTTCGTTGCTGAAAAATGGAATATCGAGAGGCACTATAGAACTGTACATTCGAATTTTTTAAAAATCATTCCCATTACGTTCTGCAACCAAAACCGAAAAACCAAAACAATTAAAAAATCAGTTAATTGGACAACAGACAACGTTTTTAAAAACAATCGACAAAAGAAAGGCTCCAGCTGAAGCATCATACCGGGTGTCCCAGATAATTACACAAAAGAAGAAACCTTACGAAGACGGGGAAGTGATAAAACAGTCGTTTTTTAGAAGCTGCAGATTCATTATTTGCCAAATTTAGAAATAAAGTCGAGGTAGTGTCTGCTATAAAATCTATGCAACTTTCTGCTAATACAGTGATGAGACGAGTAGAAGGAATGGGCAATGATATAGTTTTACAGTTGAGAAATGACTTCGATAACTGTGCTTATTTGTCACTGTAGCTGGATGAATCCAAAGATCTTTTGAAGTTTATTCCATTAAAAGGACACACTACTGTGCAGGACTTGTTTTGCCCTTTTAAGAACATTATTTCTTCTGAGAGAATTCCAATATCGAAATTGGTAGAGCTCAAGCGTTACAAAGAAGATTATTCAAAACCTTGGCCGATGAAATTGACTGTCAATACGGGGAACTACTTCTTTAGTCTGAAGTCCGATGGTTAAGAAGGGGACAAGTGCTGGAACGTCTTAATGATATCATATCTGCCATAGTTCGATTTTTCAACCAACGTGATGAACCGATTCCGGAACTGGAAAATTCAATCTGGCTTAGAAATTTTGATTTTCTTGTGGATATCACAGAAAAATTAAATGAACTTAATTTGCAGCTTTAGCGGAGAGACAACGAACTAGCAGAAATGATTTCTGATATAAAAACGGTTCTCAGAAATCTTGAGTTTTGGGAACAAAACTTAATCGATGGCGATACCAGGCATTTTCCTGTTGTTTCAGAAAACATATCTCGAAGTCCATTAGAGTAAATATCATGTAGAAATATTCTCCATCTTGAAGGATAACGCCAAAAATCGTTTCAAGGATTTCAACGAAATTGCTATAGTGGCACAATCTGTTGTTTCACCCTTCATGGAAATTGATATGCAACAGCTTGTAACTTCTGTTACGCAGAATCTTAGCGAAGACATGGCTGCGACAGAAATGGAAGTGATTGCGTTTCAAAATGATTTAGCTTTAAAATCATTATTCCCAATTCAAAATGTATCTGGCCTTCAGTAAGTAAAGTTGCCTTGAAAGTGAAAGGTTATTTGGTTCAACCTATTTGAGTGAATCTTCTCCTTGAAATATGAAGTTTATTAGAAACAAATACCGTAATCGGCTTACAGATGAACATTTCGATAATTGAAGTAAATACTACAAACATTTAAAAAAATTGTCAGTGAGTCTGAGTGTCAGGCTACTCATTGACCACGCATTTTTAGTCTGGACATGGTTTTGTTTAAAATAGTACGTTTCTTTTTTTATTTTTAGTTGCCGTTATTAAATCGTATCTGACATGCCATTGTAGCTGACGAAAAATTTTGTTTATTTTTCAAACACCTACGATTGGTAGGAATGTAATATGTATTAGTTATTAGTTTATTTAAGTTTATTAGTATGCATTAGTATTAGTAAAATAAACATATATGTATGTCGCATGCAACTATTTATAATTTCATTTAAGTTGGCTTACATTGATAAGATGAACAGCCATCTCAGATTTCCTACCAGTACCAAGACCTGTATAATAAATCCAACATCAACAATTTTTTAGCTCTCCTAGGTCAAGAAACCTGGGACCATATTTATCATTCCACTGGGGATATTAATGAGAAGTTTGATTTATTCCTACAAACTTTTCAGTATTACGTTGACATAGCATTCCCAGTTATAACCAAAACTGTAAGAGCATGAGCCAGAAAACGATGGATTACAAAAGGTATCCTAATATCAAGAGATAAGCTTCACTATCTGTATGATTTGTCTAAGACGGGAGATGTATTTCTTATAGAGTTCTATAAAAAATATAAAAGGGTATATGCCAGAGTTTTAAGGGAAGCTAAGCGACTATATTACAACAAAATGATACTAAATGTAAAAAATAAAACAAAAAGTGCTTGGAAGGTAATAAACGAAAACAGAAACACACCTAAGCACGAAATCATCAACTTAAACATAGAAAACAAAATAATAACCGAACCAAAAGAGATTGCCAAAAATTTATGCATCATTTTAATGATATTTCAGGCTCCTACGAACGGAATGGAACCGGAAATAATGGAAATAATACAGATAGAAGCAGTCACTCTTTCTATTTTCAACCCGCTGTAAGTTGTGACATAATATCAATAATAAATAACCTTAAAAACTCCAACTCTACTAGCGCAGATAAAATTAGTGCAAATATTTTAAAAATATCATCTAGTTTCCTTAGCCAACCTCTAGCATTTCTAATTAATTGTTCCATTGAGGAGGGAACATTTCCAGATAAACTTAAAGTTGCAGCAATTAAGCCCTTGTTCGAGTCTGGTGATAACCATGATATCTGTAATTTTAGGCCAATTTCCCTGATTAGTCCCTTTGCGAAAGTATTGGAGAAATATGCTTCCTTACAAATTGTCAATTTTTTGACAGTTTCAAATTATTCAATAGCATACAGTTTGGATTCAGAAAAGGTTTGTCAACCAAAAACGCTGTGCTTCATTTTCTTGATGAACTGTATTTGAAAGTGGACAATGGCGAAAAGTGTGTAGGAATATTTCTTGACTGGAGTAAAGCTTTTGACTTAGTTGACCACCTAATACTTTTAATATAAATTGGTTAGATATGGAATCAGAGGTAAGCCATTTGACTGGTTTCTCAGTTATCTAAGCAACAGAAAACGTTATGTTGAAGTACTGACTGCACAGTCTGACCAACACCTATATCATACAGGGGTTCCACAGGGTTCCATACTTGGTCCCCTCCTATACATAATATATGTCAATGACTCTCCCGCCAAATCCTCGGTAATGTATGCTGATGATACCTCATTACTTATTAATGGCAAAAACCTGGAGTCAGTGATAAGAAAGATTTAACTACTATAATATGCACATAGATCGTATTCTCCTTATAAAATCAAGCGGCCTTCAGTATATATATTAAATATATTGATTTACGTCAAAACTCACCTGAACAATTTTAGTTCTATAAATTCTGGAATTTATAATACCGTAAACAGAGAAGTATTGGAGGTGCCGGCAGATAGGTTATCTAGAACGGAGGAGAGTGCCAAATACATGGGAATAAAACTCTTCAACAAACTACCCATTGATTGTAAATCACTACCGCTGATATTATTTAAAAAAAGAATCAGGCAAATTTTACTTGATAAAGCTTTCTACTCTATAGAACAGTTTTTAATGAGTGATAGTCTTTTTTAATTGTTTTAATGTATTGTTCAATTTTAATTTGTTAATTTGTTATTTTAATTCGTTTTCATGTTTATACACTTCGTGTTTTTATTTGATGTTTTGAATGTTATTTATGTATGTAGGCAATTCTGTCTATACTAATATTCAATTGACTTATCCTATATCACTTTCTGATCCACAGGATGAATAAATTATTATTATTATTATTATTGCTTACGACTAGGTATTTCACTGTTTATTCCAAAATTATCCAAGTAGTTTAACTCACTGAAAAGGTCGGCGACCACTGGCCTATATATTGGGACCCGTTGAGCTTCGGGGCCTGTGTCCGTAAAGACATTAAATTTGTTCAAGACGCCAAGACATAAAAATTCTCCGAAATGAACCGAAAACACTATTTTAATTAAAGAGTGTATTCGACCATAGACAATACTACGTAATGATGACTTGGACGGTCTATATCTTAGGATCAATTGAGTTTTAAGGCCTGTATCCATTAAAACATTTGTTCAGAACGGTAAGACACATAACATTCGGGTATAATTCAGCAAAATTAACTGAAACCACTTTTCCACTAAAACCAGATATTCGAGTAGAATCATACCCCATTATACTGACTTGGACGGCCTATATCTTGGGAGCCGTTGGGTCTTGGGGAATGTGCCTATTACGGAATTTGTTCAGAATACCGAGATACAGAATATATAAAAAATTCAGTGTAATTAACCTGAGTCATCCTTTCTTATGGGGTTGTTAACCAAGTAGGACCGATACCACATTATAATGACTTTGACAACCTACACCTTGGGACCTAATACTCGTCGTTGCTCCTCAAGGCCGTCCGGAGGACCTTAGCCTTTAGGTCATAGTCAGTGTCTTTGGTCAGTCTGTCAGATCTGGTGGCCCAGAAACCAGACAAGTTACCTTGGGACCTGTTGAGTCTAGAGGCCTAAGACAAACAAAACCTTTGTTAAGATTCCCAAGACGCATAATATTTGAATGTTTCAGCTAAATTAACCTGAGTCACCCTTCCACATCGAGCAGATAACCAAGTAGAACCAATACCCTATTATATTGACTTGACGGCCTGTAGCTCTGGACCCGTCAGGTTTTGTCGCCTCTGCCCATTAACCCTTAACCTACCATGTGAGTCGTCTGGACGCAAAGATCCATGTGGGGTCTCACAGACTACTAACTGGGCAGATAGTAAAACAAGTTATTTTTTGGAAATAATTTATTATTGTTATGTATAAAGCAATAGGGATCCTACTACTACATGTAAATGAGGAAAAACGGTTTGTTTCTAAATTGGTTTCTAACAACAACAAATATCTGGAAAACTATATCGTAACTTGACCTAATTAAACATGTATTCTTAAAAGCTCACAAAAAAAACATTAGCGACCTAAGTAGGAAAATATGTGTCTGAAACATTTTTTAGGAACCTAAGCTATATAAAAAAATGGAACTCAGAGGAAAATAACACTGAAATGCTCCTCTAGCAGAAACCTAATCAACCGTCTTTTTTGCGCATGTATTGCATAGAGGCGTTGAGCACTTCAAGCAAATCGCCCGTCTACACTGCAAACAGAGACACTTTGTGTTGCGATGTTCTGCTGCAGGACACAAATAGCATGCTTTACGTGTTGCAAGCAAAAGCTCCCCTTCGTTCTGTGTTTCGTTTGTTTCCGGTAGCCTCAAAATTCTACTAATATTGCTGCGTATTTCACGAGGCACTCGATCATTTGATAGCCTTCTTTCCATATTTTCTCGAACTAATTCAGCAGGCAGTGGTTTTGCAAATACTGATTTATCTGTTATCACCTCATTGTCTTTGAAAGCTTGATGTAAAATAAATGAATTTACAATAGATCGACGGATTGTCGAACTTTTCGAGCATTTCTCGTCGAGTGTATCTACACCGCCTTTGGTCCGGTTATAAAAAGAAATTATTTCTGGCTTTTGGGTTTCAGGGTCGATGTAGCGTCTATTGTGCATAGAAGAAACTAATAGTGTTGCTTTTCCTTTCTTTCCCACATAAGAAACCAAAGTCATATCTTCACGAAATCCATACAACGATGATCCTTCTTCTCTTTTCTTGTTTGGTAAGAATTCTGTTGGTACTTTCTTTAGTGTACCTACGTAAGTTAGTTCATTTTTCATTAGCAGGTCAACAAGTTCTATAGAGCTGAACCAATTGTCAGCAGTTATATTTCTGTTACTTCCGAAAAGAGGTTTTACAAGACATACCACTGATTGTGTCGGCTTAGAAAATCTTATTTCTTTTCCAGGCAACCCAAAGCCATCAAAGTGTTTACCAGTATATATGTAGGAATTGTAAAGATAACTAGTTCTGGTGCCTGTAAGGCACATCACCTCAAAATGTAAGCGTGTGTACTTAGCTATTAATTGCGTGCCTATATCAAAGTTCTATTGCTCCCTTTCCTTTAGTATTATTAATAAATCTTAAGCGGTCTGAAAACGTCAAGAATTCCTGTTTCACACAAATAATGAAAAGAGTCTTGCCGAAGTTAAGCCCTAAAAATGTCTACTGCATACCAAAGTTTCTAAAATGATGAAAATTTAAAAAAAATGGTTAAAACATTTTTTTTATTTCTCGAAATTTTGGTTTGTCCAAAAAGCTTCTTTGACTACAAGAGAGCAATGATTGTAAGTTTACATCATTCTGAGAGTGTTCCTTCTATTTTTCTGAAAAGGAAACCCAAATGTGTAACTAAATTAATCCAGGTACCTTACAAATATGACCACACACAAATAATATCAGATGAAAGTTGCTGAACTCAAATAGCACTAACATTATTTAAAAAATGTATTTATTCGAAGTTTATCAAGTTAAATCAAGTGTCAAAGGCCACCACTACGTTGATCAATATTTTGAGCCATATCTCCATTTAACGTCAAACTTGAGCATCAGCAGACTACACTTTTCATTCAGTCCTTTGCTTGCATATCTCTTGGATGTTTTACCAAAGGTCTATTTAAAATACAACACAAATATGGGAAACGGAAATTTACGGCTTTCATTCTACACAAATTCTTATAGACCACGGGATTTTGCTCGTGCCAAATCATGTTGTGCTTTCCACAACATGTTATTTCTAATGTATCTACTGTACACCTACATAGTCGGAGGGTTGAAAGCAGTCAGGTATTATAGTGTGAAAGTGGGCATGTGTTCAGTCCTATCCATTAGCGGAGCTCAGAATGATTATTTTTTCGAGATATGTATTGTCAACTGGTAGTTTAACCTTTCAAAATTTACCGCTGTTGGGCTTTTGTTTTAGACTGAACCTAAAACCGTCCACACTTATTACACTGAGGATATGTTATTCAAACAAATGCGTCGTGTCAGTGCCCAGTGAATTGTTATAATTTTGAGATATGTATAGTCAAATGGTAGTGTAACCTTAGAAAATGTACCGCAGATGAGCTTTTGTTTCAGTTGAACCTAAAACCATCCACACAAATTATACTGTTATAGGTTATGTTATTTAAGCAAATGCATCGTGTCAGTGCCTTTCACTTATCTACTAAAAAATCAGAAAACAGTAAATTTTTAATATAGTGGCCTACGATTCCTGTACCATAAACTTTTTTCATGGACCTGGCCAGAAAAGGTTACAGTGCTGAAAAGCATAAACTGTAACCCCCCATGTTTATCTGGTCGAATCATCTACATCTAGGCTTAGAGTTCCGCTTCATTCGCTTTATTCCAGTGGTGACCGTATTCAAGAACAACTGACACTTTTGACATTGTCTATCTGTATTCCAGGTGACACTTCGTTCGTTTCTTTATTTGGTTTACACATTCCCATTCAGTATCTTACTACAATAGTCTGAATAGCCCAGTAACATGCTGAGATTGCGCGAAGCCATCATTGCGATTTTTCAATTTTAAGATGACACCGCGTAAGACTAGCAAAGTCCAAGACTGCCTGAGGTAGGCATTCCCGTTTCCAAAACGACGTTGTGTCGTGCCAAAATCTCGTAATCTTTTTTTAATATTTTGATCACTTACCAGTAATTTGAATTTCTCTTTATTAATGATAAGGTACCGATTCCTAGGCCAAACCCTTTTCAATTACTTTCTTTTGGCGACTTTCATAATTTATTGATCTATTGAGCTCGACATTTTGAAAGAATGATTTCTTAGCGACTCAGTAGTGTGTTGAAGACTTGACACTAATGTTATAATATTTTACTCACGACTGTCTCAGGAATTTAATCATAAAATATCGTTGAATCCTCGTAAACCCTTTTACCCGCAACACTATTTTGGGAAATAACACGGTATTGAGGTCTACCCATAGGCCGTTGATGTTGCATATTGACGTTCGGTTGCGAACCTTTCATCTCTGAACACCGTTGGCAGGTTTTTGGGATTGTTTTGTTTTCCTTGGGCGAAACTCTGTTTCGTTATGTCTAGGTAGAATATTAGACAGTTTGGTTTGAGAATCGGAATTTCTCATTCGTGCTTATTATTTTTTTGGCATCGAATCTGTAGAGTATAGAATTTTGGAACGCCTTCCTACAACTGACTGACGAAGGCCGGGAGTCTGGAGTCTGCCATTTTCCTTCTTTCCTGTTGAGGCTTTTGCCCAGCCACCAAGGACACGTATATTTCACGTGAAACCAACGTACCTCTTTACGTAGTATTCACGGCCCTATTCGAGGTGGAAAGTCCGTTGAATTTGTGGGCGAAATGTCAGATAGAATCGAAGTCATTTTCTGACAGCGATTCCACGTGATTTGTACACGTGGTTTCCACGTCCCTTTTCGACGTGGAAAGGCCGTTGATTTATGGGCGACGTGTGATATGGAATCGACGTCACTGTCTGACGACGATTTCACGTGATTAACTGGATGAAGGTGGTAAATAACATTTGGATCAAAAATGAGTTCAATATATTTGGCGAAGCCTAGAAGTAGTACTCTGTCGGGAAAACAGGTTGGTCCTACTGTGGACAATAACTGTTATTGTTAACAACCAGTTTTCCAGACAGAATTTCACTTTTAGCCTTCACCAAACATACTGAACTCATTTTAACCCAAATGTTACTTACCACCTTCATCCCCTAAACCCTTCTAATGTTATTGTACTAAAGAAGGCCACTGTGGTGGAAGAAATGTTTAAATATATGTGGTTCGAATTCTAAGGGCGGACAAAATGAAGGATTAATACTATAGTAATTTTATTTGAAATAACTACTTGAATAATCATAACAACTTCTCAAAACATGAGTATTCTAATTTTTTGTCCAAAGTTGTAAGCATTTTAGTTCTAAATATGTCTTGCTAACAACATTTCACCAATTGCTTTAAATACAAACCATCATATCTGCTCATACATTTTATGTGAGATTTAAAAATAAATGGATACTGATAAGATTATATATTAACTTATATACATATATAAATAAGAAAATAGATACAACTTTTGCAGATATGTTTTAATACATTTCATTGCATATTAGCTTTCTAATTAAATATGATCTCAGTGAATGAAACAATAGTTTTGTGAGCATCAGATTAAGCACTGATGTATTCTTGGGTCCTTAGAGCTGCATAGTTGTGAAGAATCTACCTCGCATATAGGTGATGCATAGATCTTGTTCAATATTATCACTATTGTCAAAATCTTGCTCTAAATGTCTCACATTTCTCAAAGTATCCTGTTACTGCAAAATTTGAATTACCTGACTCTACAACCCTGTTGTTGAGATGAAGCCACAACCTGAGAGGCATTTATTTTATTAAGTATTTGTTGAACATGTCAAACATGTCTTTTGACTGATGCTCACTAATAACTTTCTTATAGTTCCTTTCACTTTGTGACACTGTCTAATAAAAAAAAGAATCTGAGTAGAAAATCAAAGTCGAATATTGTTTTTAGTTAACAAAATATTACATTCTACTACTGAGGATAAAAAAGATATATGAGTATTTTGTTTTATAGCTTTTTGGTGCAAGCTTTAACCAAGTTTTAATAGCATCTTCTTCACACATCTTTTTTGGTAGCATTGGTGCCAGAAAGAACAGCCCCTTGAAATAAAATTTGAATATATAGATGTGATATAATCAAGTGTATACTAAATAAGATTAAACAATCCAACCATAACTTAAAATCAATATAATTTGACTAGGGAAAAATAAAATATGATAGCTAAAATGCAGAATAAATTGTCTGATAGTCTGATAGAACATTCTATGTTTTAGTTTTTTTATTAGTAAATAATTTTTTACTTGTTTACCTATATATAAAGCTGTGTCATGAAAAATGATTTTTGAATATAATTGTACATTAAGTCTTGTATGTTACATCAGATACAAAAAACAAAATTTGTGAGCAATAATAGGTCTGAAACTGTTTGGGAACCTATAAAGATCTGTTAGTACTTACTTATTACAACCTTGTTGAGAAATGAAGTTTTGAATGCCTTCTGCTCTTGTCTAGTTCACAAATAATTGTAGCTAACTGCCAAATGATTAGATATTAGGCGCCTCAAAATTACATATGTTCTATTGGTAATATCACGTCCCCCTAACTGCGAAAAGTACAAGATCTGAAAAAGAAAATAATATTCTCCTAATTTGGTCATATAACCAACTAAAGTCCTAATGACATGTATCAAATCCCATGGCTACTGCTATTCAGTATAAAAATGCTGTACAGGTTCACTTTTGCTGAACAGACTCATTGTTCTACAAACATAAAGTCCCAGTTTGTAATAAAAGTCTTGCAGGTAATGAATTTTTGCAGTTTAAATAGCAGCTGCTTTATTTGAAAAATATTCAAATTGAATTGATGACTGGTATGGAGAGACTTGAAGTAATTAAATACATTTCAGGGCCGTATTGTCAGTCATTCCTACAATTGGAGGATGCCTTTATGGCCTCCTTGATATTTATAGTATGTTCTTCTCTTCAAAAGGCTGGGGTTGTGAAGTTATGTTTTCTTCTTGAATCGTAGGAAATTTCAGGCTGATAAAATAGATATAAACGAAAAGTATGAACATTTTGGTGCGAATAGATATGTAGCATAACCTCAAAATCGAGCGGTAAAACGAAACAGTAGAAATTGTGACAATCAAGGAGGCCATAAACGCGTCCTACACTAATTGTTGGGACGACTGACGATAGTGATACGGCACTTAATTATAGGTAAAGTTTGAAGAATATACCTACCGTCCTCAAAAAACACTCTTCCTATATACTGCTTATACGGTACTTGTTCGTACTTGCTGCTTATATGGTGGCCACCACACCCGTTTCTTTCTCGGCGTCAGCCACTTTTCATGCACTGTGGCAATATCGCCCCCAGCACCACGACCAATTTCATCTGAAAATTCTATTCCTATACATATGGCTCGTACAAAGGCATAGATACTGTCACGACACTGTTCTTGATTAAACGATGAGCAGGAACACAGCATGGCTTTTGTCAACACACTTAAACTTTAGAATTTACAGGAGAATACGCGCACATTTCGCAAAATGCAAAATTGATGCAGGATGGAGAACGCGACGTAAGAAACAACATGAGGTTCCTGATGGGGAGCACGGGGAGCGTGGGAATGGCTTTGTTTGGATCGGATGTCTGTTCAAAAGTATGGTTGCCTAATGCTGCTTGTTCAATGTCTCCAAATGTTATCGAGTTGAAGAAGCTTAATGTACTTTATATAAAATTCCACAGGAAATGTACTAGACTCAATCAGAAAACAACTATTTATGAACTCTAGGAAATTGTTAATAGTATAGTAATGAAAAAAAGGATAGATCAAAGGAAGGTAGAACGACACACAAAGATCAGCTTCAGCCAAAAGCATTATATAGACGCAAAAAAATTGCATCATTACAAAAGTAATTATAACAACAAAACAATCTTGGGAGCTAATACTGCGGATTGTGATGAGAATTCTGCAACCTGGCAATGCAGCTATGACACTAAGGATTTTTTCGCGAGTTCACGGTGTAGCACAGTGCACTACCAGGAACCGATACTCAAATTTTCGCGAAGAACGGGAATAGGGGAAGACGGATGTGACGTCGTCCGAATGTCAAAAAATCACGTGGTGCGGGCACCCGTCTAACGTCTGTGAGGCACTAGCGGGTGACAGGACTTATGTCAATTTCATTTAACAAAACAGGCATCTCAATTGAAATTTTGTATTCGCAGTGCCGAAAATTATTAAATCATAAATGGAGGAACACGTCCAGCTGATTTTAAATGACGAGGGAGAAGGTCATCGAAGATATATGAACCGCACTTGTCATATCAAATGATTGATTTTATTGATATATATGTACATTGCACAAAAAACGATTGGTCTTTTTATTTCAGATTCAAACAAGGCAGCTAAGTTTATCAAGGTGCTTAAAAGAAACATTTTCTGTAACATGCGCCATCTAACCACTCCCGGTGTAACTTGAAACTTTCAAAACTTCGAGAGGAAAGGCAAATTCCATCTGTTCCCGCTCCGGTTCACTACGGGATCGTTACTCTTTATCATTGTCGCTTCCCCTCTCAAGGCGCGATATTTAAAATTTATTGGTCATGAAATGGGGAAACATCGATAATAAAAAACTCAAACTGGTCATCTAGGAGTAAGTTTTATAGACGTTCCTTGGAGCCTGAGTGACGTGTGAGGCCAGATCTCTCCTTGAAAGCAACAAATTATATCAAACGTGATCTACAACGAGCAGCTCTGCTATTCTGCTAACCGCTATAAATTCAACAAAGCAAACCCATTACTCAGTTGCTGCCATTAATCCGAGTTGCCGAACCTACCGATTGTTCGGTGCTGCTAACAAAATACGATTTTTACCGAAAAAGAGCTAGACCCAAATATGGAGCTGAAAAAATAAATTTTATGTCGTAGTCTATGTGGTTTTATGGCCCATACCAATCTGAAAATTAAATGATGAAACTATTTTTTTTTAATTTTTATTCAAATATAATTACAATTTTATATTGTCACCCTCAAAATAATTTCCTTCTGAAGCCACAAAACGCTGAAAACGGTTCTTCCGCACTTCATAGCAGTGCTGGAGCTCCGATACTGGAATATCCTTCAGCTAGTGGGTAGCAGTCGTTTGAGTGTTTTCGACTGTTCAAAAAAGAAGGTGAATAAGGAGGCTGCAGAGTCACAGAAATGTTTTACTGGCCAAAAACTCGTTTATTGACATTGCTGTCAGCTACAGTTGTTCTTGATCTGATGAACGGTGGTGTGACTCAAATTCAACTCTGTTCCGATCATTTTGACTGACAACCGACGATCTGAATGCACAAGATTCCGTATTCTAACAATATTTTCATCGGTCCTTGAGGATGAAGACCTTCCGCTACGTTGTTCATCTTCAATCGACTCTCCCCCTTCTGAAAATGCCTCAAACCACCGACAAACCTGGGCCCTTGACAAAACACTATCTCGGTAGGCGTGCTAAGCGAGAGTTTCCGTTGCACTCGCCTAGATCTGAAGCAAAACCTGATACCACACCGTTGCTTGAAATTGATGTCACTCATTTTTAGAACACAATAGAAAAAAAATAATAAAATCTAAATGACTCGAGCAAGTTCAACCTTGTACTGAAGGCGGATCACTTGTTCCACTGACATCCCGTCAAGCTCGGCGCCTCCAGTATTGACATGCGGAACGCTTCGTTGCCAGTCTCATCACTTAAATTCCCCATTGGCGACACGACGGACGTACATTCAGCTTGCCAACTCGTATATTCGTGTACGTATATCCCTTACTCCGCTTTCCGCGTACTGGTTTTTGTACCAACAATAGGTACAGACTGGTGAGTCATTGTCATCGCTGCATCACTAGACAAGCAATAAGGAAACCAAAGCTATTCTACTTCTAACTGAAGACTAAATTAAAATGTCAGGTGATGAGGTTTCAAGTTCAGAGATAAAACATAAAAATATCGCAAATCTGATAAATAAGAATGGGGAAAGGAGTTTCCAGGATGTTTACAAAGAAGTTGAGCAGCGAACAGTATGTTCTTTGTACAAGTTGCAATAAAGAAGCTAATATTGCAGGAAATATGTTTTCAGAAAACCGTTGTTTTCTTCGCACGTAATACAAGAATATCATTTTTTCATAGACGGCGTCGCGTGACGCAAAGTCCCTTGATCCACTGCTGATCTTCCGATGGCCCTAATTTTTTCCTCCTACCGATGTTGTCCTTAAAGGCTCCCCCAAACCAACGCGGAAAATACACAATATCTACGAATATATAGACACACAAGTTCAGGCTGGTACAGTTATCTTCGCTTTGGCTGTGATTTATCTACGTATTTATCCGCACGGAAACTCAGTTCGCAATCAGTTGCGTTTTTGTCGGATTTGCAGTTATTTCGGAACATTTTGAAGTTAGAAATAATCTATGTCTAATCATATTAGCAAATTTCTTCGAAATGATTATAAAGTCTGGTTTTATTGGTGCAAGTTGTTCAAGGGGGTATTTAAAACATAGACGCATAAAATTGGTACACCAATTTTTGTAGGAAAACTTTTTATTTGACAACAAAGAATGAGACACGTGTTTTTGGGATTCAATCGAAAGTGTTAACAGGAACAAAAAAACTTGTCATATAAGATGTTTTGGTATTTATGACACCTGCAATCTGAGACCACACGTAAAAGCAAAAATATTATGGCCGAAAAACGAGGCAAAATGCAGGTTTTGGCACTTGATGGTAATAATAATTTCACGCAAGTGCTTGATATTCTTTAAATCTGTAGGATTCATACTTCTACTTTACAGCAACAAAATTTGATTATATTGGTCAAGTGGTTTTTTGAGAATTTCTAATTGTTTATCCCAAAACACCTATTTTCCAGCCATCACTACTAGTTTCGTTCAAAGAACATTCAATAGCAAAATACACGTGTTTACCTTGCCAACATGGATCACAAACAATTCCGGAAGATGAATGTTATTTTTATGCGGAAAACAATGCTTTTTCTAAACAAATACAGACATTTCATATTTGTGAGTAATTGAACAAATGCGCTACCATATTCGTAGAACATAGGATACTATACACATTTTAAAATAAAGCGGATGTGTCTATCATCTTTTGTTGCGAATTACTCACAAATACGAAATGTTAGAATTTGTTTAGAAGAAAAAACGTAACCCATCCTTTTTTGCATAAAAACAATATTTATCTTCCGGAATGGTTTGCGATTTGTATATTGCTCATCAAACTAGTACTGATGGCCAAAAAACAGGTGTTTAAAACAATTAGAGATTCTCAAAAACTACTTGACCAATCTCCTCCAGTTTAGTTGTGGTCATTTAGAAGTACGAGGCCTACGAATTTAAAGAATTTCAAATATCTACGATAAACCATGATCGCATTACCAACAAGTGCCAAAGCCTGAAGTTTACCTCGGTTTTGATCCATAAATTTCTTGCTATTAGTCGGATCTTTTTATGTGTGGTCTTATTTTGTAGGTCTCAAAAATACCTAAAAGTCTTGTATGAAAAGGTTTTACGTTCCTGCCAACACTTTCGACTGAATCCGAAAAAACACGTTTTCTCATTTTTTGTTGTCGAATAAAAAGTTTTCCCACAAAAATCGGTGTACCTATTTTATGCGTGCATGTTTTGAATACCCCCTTGAACAACTTGCAGCAATAAAACCCGACTTTACAATTATTTCGCAAACCATGGATATTTTCGTCTAATATGATTAGACTACTAGATGAAGGAAATTATTGAATTAGTTCGAAAGTATCCTATATTACTCATGACATTTTCCTTGGAAACTATAGGAATGTTCACAAAAAGGATAAGGTTTGGATTAAAATAGGGGAACAATCAATTATTATTCTAAAATTAATACAGGATCATTTCTCGGTGACATTAATGTGTGAAATTCATCATATTCTCGTCTTTCTTGGGAATTGATTTTTTTCTAAGGTAAGATACGTACTATGGTAAACACGCTAATTTTGAGATATTCATAAACATTATTTTTCCTTAAATTATGTTTTTCCATTGCAAAAAACAGTAGTGCTTCTTCTGCGTCTGATGACGTATACATTCTCTTAGGATAGCAAGTATACGATTCGTTTCTCTTTTTTAACGCTAACATTCAGTCTTTCCTATACTGAAAATACAACTCAAAAGATGATTATATTCGTTTTGGTGTGAAGCTTCATCCAGAACCGCAATGAAATTTGCTGCGGATTCTCCATCACGAATCCGCTGCGATTAGTTCGCGTTGGTTTGGGAGATCCTTAAATCTATCGAATTTCAACGACGCTATCTACCGATTTCGAATCGGCCCCACTGCCCTTTATACATATTCGCAGGCATCGCCACTGTTTAGTATAGTTATCGGATCCGAATGGCGATGAAGAATAGCCGCTCATTGTTATTCGGTCCAAATAGGTGCAGGGATGCTCCAGGAATGCCGCATTTTGACAAAGCAATTATGCAACATAATGTTTGCTGCATACGGTATATAGTTCAGGAAAAATATGCTTTTCTTGGGCAACAAACTATCACAAGACATAAGTGTCTCAAGGCTGGCGCTGTAGTCAATTAGCATACTGCGTATATTTAGCGCCATCTA